TCTTTAGGATGAGCCCAGAAAGAAGTCTATATCTTTATTTTTCTGGTAGATATGAATTTTTAAACATTGGGGAAAAGAGGCTTCAATCGGCGGTAACACGCCAATTTTAAGATAGGAATATTGTACTAGAGATATATGTGTAATGTTTCATCAACCTTGTTCGAAGGTTTATACTCTTTAAAGTTACATTAGTTACAGCAACTACCTTTTTGTCAAAAATGGACACAGGTATGTTATCACTAATACAACTTAATTTGCTAATAACTATAAAAGAAAGTAATAAAAGAACGAATAAAGAATGAAACTGGAAATTTTATTCGTTGAAAGGTAGAACATAAGACTAGAAACTTTTGCCAATAATGAAAAATCGATTGTCACGATCAACATAAACATGATATTGTAATCAATGTAATACCAGAAACAGATGCTTGTTATATATGATGGTTTTGTTACAATACAATTAAAAAGATATGAATCATGCCCCAGTTATAAACTCTCTTATAACAATTTATCGCTCGTGAAATTTACGTTATATCTAATGTAGCTTTTAGCGTAAACGAGGTAGAGAATTAAATGTATCGAGAAGATAGATTAGATTATTGCTATATCACATTTTTTATACAAAAAAAGAAACTTTAAACAACTTAAAGATAATAATAAACATCAGTAGAAGATTGTTAAACTATTGCTTTCTTGATAAAATTTGTAGTTATATTTATTATTTGAAATAAATGATGATCGCAACAAATTCTCCAGTATTCTCATTTATATTTTTAGACACGCACATATGCTGTATTAAACACATAATTGATAAAGATGATCTGACATAATTTTATTTTACTGAATCTCTGGCTGTGCTTATTGCAATGCGACGAATGGCAAAAATATCACTTTATTAAGATATGATTCCGCGTGTTATTGTATGCAAGTTGAACTTCGAGGAAATTTTTATGGACTCATATATCACGTACGTATAGGTATTTTTAGAATATTATCGGTTTTTTTACGAAATTCATTTGAAAACGTAAATATTGCATTTTCGTCAATTGATGAATATGAATTAAGTAACATCAATTGAAATAAATGCGATATTTTTTTAGCTATTTGACCAATAATTAATTAATAAGGAGTAATTACATTGCTCGTTTTAAATCAAGTTTTAGATTAGAAAAATTAAAATCGATTTTATATTTTTTAAAATATATGTGTTCTGTTACATGCTATTGTACATGCATGCGTGCAAGCGTGCATGCATACAGTCAACCAAATGTCTATCGAATGGTTATTTATATATAATATATATAATATGTATATACATATTAAATATATTGTATAAATGTTTTTATTGTATATTGTATATATTTTATTCAGCATTAAGATGATATCATTATTGCATCATTATATGTATAATATTATAATATTTGAATAATTTACTTAGTAATAAAAAATTTATTTAGTTCTCATGACAATGTTTAAATGTGAAGTCTTTCTAATTGCAATGTCTTTTTTTTTAATTCAAAAATATGGAAATGCATTCCTTGGCAATCCTCGCGATATCTTTGCTCCTTTTCATAAAATCGCATAAAACTGCGTAGAAGGCAACTTGAACGGGCGCCAAATAAGATGGTGCGTAGCTTCCTCTAATCGCTCGAAAATCGCTCATAATTAGTTTTAAGCAAAAAGAAAAAGAGAAGAAATATTATTCTTTAGTCCAATTGGAGAGTTATATCGCAATCGAACCATATTCGCGATGACACACTTCTTTGCGATAACGAAGAAATACTCGGTTGTTTTTCCATCTTTAATCTAATTAGGAGAAAACAATTAGCCTTTGCTGTGCTTTTATTTCAAACTATACGCATTGTATAAAACTTCTCACTATATTAACACAAACTGCTCTGTTTTGACATCGTCAAAACAAAATAAAACGCTATTATTTTTCTATGATACATTCCTATTATTGTATATTTTAACAATTGTATGTATCGAGGAGTTAATAATGTAAACAATAAAAACCTAACAAGATTCCCCAAATTAAAAATATGTAAGTAAGGCAGATGGGAATCAGCGTGGTTATTGGTATGCAATATTTAATTTATATGAAATTTGCGTTATTCTAAGACGTTTCAACTATCTTTCTTAGCCATCTTCAATAACGAATTACAAAATTACATTAAACTCTCGCTCTTAGTTTCTTAACGCGTGTGTTCTTCCACGTCTAGTGAGTGAGGAAGCAGTTATAGGTACCTCCAATAGCTGTCCGTGCAGTTGAAGGGCTGCATGGTCTAGCTGTATGTCCTCGAACGTAATAAAACACACACTTTGCATCTTGGCAACGATACAATTAATAAATAACGGCAATAAATAAATAATTAAAGTTAACAATGCATAAAACTTGATCAAAATAAATAGTTAAAATTAACGATGTAAAACTTGGTCACAATTTAAAATAAGAGAAAAGATAAAACTATCATAGCGACTGTACTCGTCAAAGTCCGAGCGAATAATTACTAATTATAATAAAATTACTTATATAGTTTTATCTTTTATCTTATTTTAAATTGTGACCAAGTTTTACATCGTTAATTTTAACTATTTATTTTGACCAAATTTTATATATTGTTAATTTTAATTATTTATTTATTGCCGTTATTTATTAATATTATATTATTATTTATTCATTATATATATATTATATATATATTGTATATATATTATTTATTCATATATTTATATATATATATATATATATATATTATTTGCATATGTAAAATATGTGCTTTTAAAATTTTTAATAATTTGTTGTGGCTATTTTTTATCAATGTAAATTGGAATAATGGTTTTATTATGAAGTTCTAAAACATGACAAATCTTTTATATTAAACAATTTGTGTCCAGTTTGTGAAAAAATCATATCACAATGCATGTAATAACTATATATCTATATAAAGATATATTTTGTTCTTTGTCAAAATTTAAATATAAATATAAAAAAAATGTATTTCTATAAGCATGACTACTTCAAAATGCAATAAAACTTTGATAAACTAAAATAATCGCACATTTATGTAAACTAATTTATCTTATCATTGACTTAATTGCTGACTTTAATACAAATAAACGAAAACTGATCTTGTTGGGTTAAAGTAAATTTCGGTGCCTAAATAATATTTTCGTGTAAATTTTACAATTTTCAATTCATGCAAACTGCGCGTTCCCTGTTGGTCTTGAAATACAATTCTAAACTAAAGCTGAAGAAATATCACAAATTAAATTATAATTAAATCATAATTCTAAATTTAAAATACCAAATGCGTAAAATATTGTACGTTATCAAAAGAGACTTTTTTTTTATCGAATCTGTCTGTTTCTTTTTGATATGAACCATTCTTTCTAAAAAATATCTCTCTAATTATTAAATAATAAATTAATTGATAAAATTTCCTGGTTATATTCTCTTAATTACTGTTAATATTAATATATTATTTTATATAAATTTTAAATTACTTTTAATATTTTTATTATACGAGGATGATTGGCCGGAATAAAATATTTGGATAAACTCGTCATTTAGTCTTTATATATCAAATTAAACTATAACACAAATTCTTTTTATTGTTGTCATATTCAAACTTTCCAAATCAGTTTAAAAATATTTTTTTAAAGCTGTCTTATATCTTGAGGAAGATATAAAATAATGATATGGTACATACATGTACATACATGATATGTACATATACACGAATATGTACATATATTACTCGTTTATTAAAACACATATATGTATAAAGGAAAATTTGATTTTCTCTTTTCTATTGATTGAAAAAATGTGAAGAAAAAATTTCGCTTAAGATTTTAAATCCAAAAGAATTTTTATGAATTATAAAAGCATTTTATGAGAAATAAATAAAAAATAAATTATAGAAAGAAGTCGAAGAGAACGAAATAATTTTTTTCAGTTTATTTATGAGATAACTCCTTGTCGTAATCGCTTGATTATTTGAATTAATGGGGACAGTAGATATATATTCAATTGAAACTGTATTCGTAGCTTATATGTTAGTGAACCATAAGTTGCTAGCTAACAGTAAGACGTAGTGCGCATAACACATTTGCATGCAAAACTCTTATTTTATCAACACGTACCACGTCATGACGATTCTCCAATTACCACTGTTCGCGCGAGTGTCCCATATTCTAAATCAGTGCATCAAAGAATGTACTGTCAATGTACTGCCAAAAGATCATTTGAGAAAATTTATTAAACATCGATATTACACGACCGCGGTTAATTTAAAAGTAGATACACAGAATGTAGTGAGTAGCAGATTTCCTGACGTAAGTGGTTTCGAGAATATTTACTTACACAATTTTATCTGGGAAAAAGTCGGAAGATGGTCAAATCATACTGCTCTGGTATGTAATATAAATGGAATAATAGATATAAAATTACAAAGAATATATGTAGGACGTTATTTGCATTTTTCGCAATATTATGAATGTGTGTAATCACATAAATTATTTCTTTCTATAAATATTGGCGAATGAAAAAAGAAGAATGATAATTATTTCAATATTATTGCAATAATATTTGTTTTAATATCATACATATAAAATTAAAAGGAAAACTTAACAAGCTTGAGAACCCATTGGATTTTATTTGTTAATTTCTGTCAAATAAATATCCGATGTTAAAAATTAAAGAGATCTGAAAAACAATCTAAGAATCGCCAATATTAATATAAAAAACTCGGGAATTCGTTGCTTCTAGGACAACCGTTAATAGTCTCTTTATGATTACAATTGCTGTAGGTTACATTTTTGAAAATTACTTGCTGTTCGATTCGCTCGAATCTACATAAGATTAATAACCAAATAACAAATTTAATAACACAGAATTGTTTCTTCGATATGGGATAATTTCTTGATTAATGATTATAATCTTTTTTTGTTCAAAGCACAGATAACATTGTGTCTATTTAGTGATTTAATTATACTTTATTACACTTAAGATTCAATTCCGTTGGCTCTTACAAGATTCACCGCGTTCATGAACATCAAATAAATATAAATAATTAAGTAAAACTTTTTAAATCAATTAATTTTTTAATTTTAGGTATGCGCAAATACTGGTAGATCATATACATACAGTCAATTGAGAAAAGCATGCAGCAAACTAGCAATGAGTTTAAGGAAAAATAAGCTTCTACCGGGAGACACTATCGCTATTATTTTACCAAATATCCCAGAATTTGCCATCATCGCATTAGCAGCAAATGAAGCTGGTTTACGCGTAAGATCAAAATTACATGCGTACTATGGATGTTTAAATTGTAAATTGTAAAGTGCCATCTCTAAACAATCTCTATCAATTAAATGAATCCAAAAGATGATGGTTTCACAAAAATGCATCTTAAATTTGTATTTGCAGAAAAAAAACTGCAGTAATATAATTGATAGATGATAGCGTATTTAAATAATGTTACTTAATTACAATAGTTTTGTAAAAAATTTTAATAAACACAATAAAATTAAGATTAATAAAAAAACGTAATAAGATATTCGTTTTTTTTTTAAGTATTAAAATATCTATCGTTTTATAAGCTTGTTATAATAATCATAATATTATTATATTGTTATAATAATTGTTTTCTTTTTAAGACAACTTTGATTAACCCTGTATACACAGTATATGAGATAAAGAGGCAATTGGATAACGCGGATGCTCAAGCTATCTTCACATTTTCGGCTAAATATGCTGATGTCAGAGCAAGTATTGAAAAAAATTCAACGATAAAATTACCAATCGTCATCGTAAACGATGGAACTGGCGCTGGTTCAATTTCAGGAACAATCCAATTAAATGACCTTATACGCGATAACATCGAAGATTTTTCAAATAGTCAAAAAACCGGAATAAGTTGCGAAGATGCGGTATTCTTGCCTTATTCCAGTGGCACAACTGGTTTGCCTAAAGGCGTTGAGATGACCCACAGGTATAGTACGGAAACTGATTGCGTATTAAACATTTGTGAAGCAATTGAAAATGCAATTCTTATAAATGAGTCTCTACACGAGAACAGTGCAGCGGAAATTCAATATACTATTATTACAATATTATAGTAAATAATTAGAATATTTCACAGGAATATTGTTGCAAATATTCTTCAAAGCGAGAATCCGATATTCTTTCCTGGAATAGAAGCGAGTAAACATTATCAGGATATTGTTCCACTAATATTACCAGTATATCACATGTACGGGTTAATACTTTCCATGTATTGTTACTTACGGTATGTTAACATATATTTATTAATTAGATGACTCGTTTGTGTAATAACTATGACAAGTGAATGCCTGAATATGGCCCGCATTTATGTAACGTTAAGTTAAGGATTGATTAATGTTAATCGTTTGACTTTTGACTTCTTGTTTTTTAATTATTTAAAAAAGAACATATTTTTACATATTATACTTGAAACATTGAGATTCGTTATAATTTCATCATATGTATATACGTATCCCACAATTATATATATAGAATAGGTGCTAAACTAGTGTGTCTGCCGCAATTCTCCGTGGAAGGTTTTACAAAACTGCTTGAAAATCATCGGTGCACAATAATGCATGCTGTACCACCGATCGTACAAATGATGGCATACAACGAGCGAATAACGTCTCGTCACGTTGAATCTCTAAGATTTATAATGTCAGCAGCTGCACCGCTCGGGGAAAAATCCATCGAGAAATTTCAAAGTCGTTTCAATAATGTCGCGACCTTTATCCAAGCGTAAGAGACCACAATTACGTATAACATACGTTAAATACGTCTATACAACAATAAGAACATTTACAATTCATTTACAGATACGGTGCGTCGGAGCTGTCCCCGCTTGCTACAGTCGGTACTGCAAATATATCGCCGGCATCATGCGGCTATTTGATTCCAAATACACAGATGAGGATTGTAAGCACGCGAGATGATACTCTCGGCAGAAATTTAGGTCTGCGCGAAGTAGGAGAAATATATATACGAGGCCCGCAAGTAATGAAAGGATATTATAAAAATCCCAAAGTCACAGCAGATTCTATAGATGGAGACTGGTACAAGACTGGTGATTTAGGGTATTACGATGAAGATGGTAAGCAAGTTGATAAGTTCATTCGAAAAATTTGAAAAAATAGAAATATGAGACAATTATGTTGAAATGACACGATTGTAAATTATATGTTGTAAAATACAGGCCTCTTATACGTGAAAGGACGATTGAAGGAAATGATAAAAGTAAAAGGATATCAAGTCGCACCTACCGAACTTGAAGAAGTAATTCGTAATTATGATAACATACAAGACGTCGCCGTCGTTGGTGTGGCACACGATAATTATGGAGAAATTCCAAAAGCTTTTATAGTTCCTAAGTCGGGAGTAAAAATTAACGAGAACGAACTAAAAAAATTTGTCGCTGAACGCGTAGCCAAGTACAAACAATTGGGATATATACAAGTTATAGGAAGTATTCCGAAAAATATATCTGGAAAAATTCTTCGAAGAGAACTTCAAAATCTCTAACATTATTCTTTAAGTATTGAGTTTTGCATTCGAATTGACGTCAAGGACTTTACGAGTAAATATACTGGATAAACATTCATATATTTGCATTACATTTTGTAGTTAAAATTATACTTAACGAAAATATTACGAAAAAAGGATTATAAGGAGTCGACACTGTAAACAGCAAATTTTAGAAAGTTTCAAGTAATATAAATAACTTTACAAATGTTTTGAGCCATCCTCTCAGTATAGCGAAACAGACGGAGTTGAAACATTTGTAAAGTTATTATGTGTTGTTATTCACATTTATATTACTACAAGTTTGAAATCTTATGCACACTGTTTACCATGCCAACTCCTTACAGCTCCTTTTCTGTACTATTATTTTAAATTTCAGGTTATTTGCTCAAACATATATTTAATTAACAAAAATGTTTAGAACAAAACACGACTATCTTACTATCCATACAAAACATAGTTGTTTATTTACAGAATTAAAACAAAATTTATTCTTTAGACTTGTTGACATCACTTTGAGAAGATTCTCCTTTTTCCAAAAGAGCACTAGTAATTCCAGCTTTTTTCAATTCCTCGATAAGCTCACCATTCTTATGCATTTCTAAGAGTATGTCACAGCCGCCCATGAAATCACCGTTTATAAATACTTGGGGTATTGTAGGCCAATTAGAAAAGTCTTTTATGCCTAAGTAATTAATATTAGTATTTAAACATTATGACAGCAGCAATAAATTAATAAATAGAAAATTTATAGAAATATATAAAAGTTCCATACATTTTTTATACAAATCATTTTAAAATGTACATCTCTTTTAAAAATGTGAATAAAAATGAACATTCTCTTTTCGAAAAATGATTGTTCAATAAACATGAAAGCTTGTAACAAATACTTGTAATCATTTACCTTGTCTAAGTTTCTCATCTTTAAGAACATCGTGAGCATCATAAGTAACGCCGTGTACACGTAATATCTGAACTACTGCATTGCTGAACCCACATCTTGGCTCTTCTGGAACGCCTTTCATAAAGACGACTATCTTATTTTTCTACAAGAAACCATGTAATAGTAAGAGATATTGCACATAACGTTACATTGAGTGACAAAAAAGGATTACTGACAATTTTTGAGTGCTTATCTCTACTATATAAACTGTAAAGATTTTATACAGAATTACACACCTTAACCTCTATTATTTTAAGACAAAAATCATGTGTCTCAAGTCAGAAAGTACTCAGATAAGAAAAAAATAGGCACAAACATTTTATCATATATTCACTTACCTTAACAAGATTGCTGATATCATTAAATTTCGCACTAAAATTTCTACTAATAAACAAACGTTTGGCTCCAAAACGAAACATGTCTTGATCTATTATATAGTTACAGAACACTTTCGCAATTAACTTAGATCTTTTAAGACCTCTAACTTAGACGGCTTAGACCTTATTTAAAGGTGAAATGCGACATGCAACGCAAAAAGGTTATATCGGAGAGCAGGTTATGTACACACTGCCCGTCTGCGGTCTGCCCCACGCTATCAGCTGTTTTATATTTTTGTTCAAGTGTAAGAGAATGAGTGGCCCCCCTGTGGCGCCATCATGCGATATGACGGCAAGGTTCGTTGACATATTTCTTTACATTTATTCAAATAAAACATTTTTATAAAAAAGATAATACATATTTGATATAAGCAATATTACATCGGAAAAATTAATCTTCGATTTTTCCATCCAAAGAGCGAGATAGTAATTTAATTACTCACTCGATCATCATGTAGTCGCGATCTATTCGCCGATTACTCTGATGATCATGCACTTGCATTGCACAGTACATACATACATACAACTGTCGATAATGCAACTAATTTATCATGTGAACATGCGCGTCATTTTATTAACGCAATAAAACGATAATTTCAATTATTTCATTATTAGAATGCTGTACAGCATTCTCGAAACGCGTGCAAAACGTATGTAAATACATACGACGAATTAATGCCAGTCGCTGCCGATATTAATGAAGTTGCAATATCTGTTGATTGTACATGCCATTCCATGTTATGTGTACAAAATAAACTGTGTAATAATAATGATAAAGTTACCTTGGATATCTCGAGTAGTACGATTTACTTGCCGGAGATCGAAGCGGGAAGGTGACAATTAAATCTATCTCGTCAGCTACGCTCGGATTCGGACGTCGCTTTGCACGTCGCTCTTTCAAACCGCGATTTGAACACGACTCGTCCACGTGAATCGCCAAATCGTCGAAAATCAATTAACTCGCGTAACGAAAACCGGGAAATTGCGACGTATCAATGCCTCGGTTAATAATTCCGCACGTCACAGAATACGTCCTGCATGCTCCCGACATTGGATCTCGATCGCGTTTCCGAGCGGCCCGAATTCGTGGTCGAATTAGTCGCTAAATTGACTAGCGCGGCACGGTGGAGTGATGAGGTGGGGGCAGTGGCGTGTGGTGGCGTGGTGACGTCATTAGCAAAATGTTGCGGGCGCGGGGTGGATTGACTCTGCGTCGTACGGTGCCGCAGAGTCGCCTTCCATTCGTAAGTATCGTCGCGATCGCCTCGTCTTTCGCGTGTCCGTCAACCGCGTGACACAGATTTATAATATATCGGCGATTTCGCGAAACGTGTACATACAACGCGATCAGAGACCGAAGCTCAAATCGAATATCTCACGCGGCGACACAATGAAACGGCGCGGCACGTACCCCCGCGTCGACCTCCGTACTTCGCGAAGAAGTATTTTGGCGTATTTTAACATACGTTTCGATTTTCCCTCTTATGGTTTGAACCCGCGCGATTTGCTCATATCGCGATACGAGGCGTTAATCGTCGCCAAACGCCAATTTTTCTCGACGATCATTCGAAATTCGAGTGGACGAAAATAAAGGCGAGAGCAACAGGTACAGTGTCGCCGTGACGGTAGCCGCGCGAAGCCTAGATACCCTCAATCGCGCCGATCGCGCGTCGCCGTGAAGTTGGCCGCGCGATCTACGAATTTCCATCTCCATATTGAATTCGTGTATGTACGTTACTACTCGTCGTCATGGACGCGTCGGTCGGGCGATTCGCGCGAGCGATATTTCCTGCACGCGTTGTTCCTCCGTCCATCCCGGTTTAACGAGGCGCGATTAGCGATGTGCGTGATCAACGCGAGAGTGTCGTGAGCTAGCGGTAAGCGGTACGTGGGTGACAACACCGCGGCTAACCCTGCTCCGCGAAGCGTTGCGTGTGTGTGAGAACAGTGTGTGAGACATGTCCTGGACACTCCTGGACAATTAGTGCCAGGAATTCGGAGCAACGGCGAAGTGAGCGAGGAGGAGCAGGCACGGGGTAGCATCGCAGGCAACGGCGGGGCAACCGTGGGTGAGCATCTTGTAATTGAGGGTTAGATCCATATCGGTGTAATTGCACTGATTGTGAGCTCAGATTCGGGTACCATAGGCGTGCAATGAGTCTTATACTTTCTCCGAAAAAATGAATCGCGACGTTCGACATTAATGTCCTTTCTTGCGCACCGTATAGGCGTTGCAAATTGAGATTATACCGATATCGGATCTGCAACTTATCGTATGTATTATTATTTTTTTTTTATAGTATATCATCTGTATTATTTATACTTTTTACTTTTTCTTATTCAAGTTGATTGTTTGTTTACGTGATGCTTCAATTTTTATATCAATCTGTGTAATACAATATGTAGGAAGTATTTCAGATTTTATTTTGAGACACTCAAAAAATATATTTGATAGAATGTCAATAATATTTATTAGAAATTGAAAAAATATAATATACTTAGTATAAAATATTTAGAAAATATTACGACAGATTAAAATTATTTAGACAATATGAAAGAGAGAGAGAGAGAGAGAGAATTAGATTTATTTATCCAAATTGTAAAAATTAATATCTCAAAGAATTACCTTTAAAAATAATATAATCCTTTTTATTGTTTTATTTAAAAGAAAGCAAACAGAAAGTTTAACATGTAGCATTTATTTTTTGAAATACATTTTTTGAGACACAGCTTTTTAATATTGGATTCATTTATATTTTACAGATTAATATTACAACTCCGCTGCTGCGCCTCGAAGACTGGTGAGTCTTAAAATATTTTAATTTCAAAAGGTACTACCTTTTTGCGGCAATTAAAATACGGAATAATTCTGACAATGAGGTAACTCAAACTTTAGAATAAATTTAATTTTATCGAAAAATATATTACTAAAATATCGCACGACGATATAGTAGCGAACTGTAAAATTAATTGTTTGTATCATACATCGCATTGCGACTGTCGTATCTACAGAGATCCTCCTATCGACGCAAGATAATCGCTCGTGCGCATCCATTATGTATACTTTTTGGACAAATATTTTATTTGTAAATCCAAGATGTTTAAGCTAATTGAAAGTTAAGCGACATTGACTACGATTGATCTTTATTCAATTAATATACCTAAAAGTGCAATCGCACGTTGGAAGTGTCTTATAATTGAGGATCATATAGTAATCATAGGTGCGTTCCGTTTTATGCATGATCCACATGATGTATCGCATTTTATCTTTGTTTAACATTCAAATGAATAACAAGGATAAGATGATCATGTGCGTCATTCATGCATATATATAAAAGGGAACGCACGCCATGGCGTGGTGTTAATATAAATGTGCGGATTCGTAATTAGGAATGTTTTTTCGACTTACGATTGAAACAACTCACAAATGCCAAGAATAATGATGCAATTAGCGAGAAGAATTAAATAACTTAATTCTAAACTTTATATACGACTGAAATTATTATAGCTTTTCCTAAACATCGTTGGTCTAACAGAACATCTTCCTCGTTCTAAATGCATCGCGTGAATAAATCACGAGTGTCGCGTAAATGACGGCGGGCGTTATTCTATACTATATTCTGTTGACTGGTGCAGCATCATAATCTTTGGGAAAATTTCTTTGATCGCGTTGATAGACGTGGGATCTGAATTGAATGATGAAACAACTGAAGCGAGGATGTAATGACAATTTCGTCGACTGAGTACTTTAACTGTATATAATGCTCGTTACCAATATTGTTTGTTTCGAAGTTAACCCTTTTTTAAAAATACTTCTATATATGCTACGTTATGATAATCGGATTTTCTGTCACTCTCAAAAAAATTGCAAATAAGAATAATGATGTATGATACGAATAATTAATTTTACAGTTCGCTACTATATCGTCGCGCGATATTTCAGTAATATATTATTCGATAAAATTAAATTTATTCTAAAGTTTGAGTTATCTTGCCGCTTAGAAAATATCTTAGAAAATATTGAATTTAAACTATCAAAATCATTCTAAACTCGTGGTATACAATGTAAATTTTTTATGTTTTCTTAAATTTGTGATACTGGGCAAATTAGATGTTGTATTTAAATTCGATCATTATTTTAGATAATTTAACCTGCGTATGTAATAAAAATAAGATTAAAAAAGCGCAATCGATGATCAGTTATCATCGTATTGTCTCTCAGTATTATATCGTTCGAGTATTTAAACTACTTGTCAGATGTCGTCGATATGCAGTCTTATTTCTCGGTGTAATTTCTGATTTCTGTCACGTTGTCAATGTTGTCATGCGAATGCGACTATTCGCTATATTTGCGGATACACAATCGCGCTTTCGAGAACTCGCTCGCGATATATCGCAGCGATACATACATTCATCGCAAAATCGGAAGATTAGGCAGACGGTATTCCTCGTATACAGAGAAATCGTTCTCTTGGACAAGATAGCGTGCGTATGTACGTAAAGCTAAGCTCTGTCGCGCTCATCCCGATATCGAATTTGACCTCCATCACAATGACCTAGCTATGTTCACGAAACGCAATGCTGCGTCGCGTTGTTACAAACATATCGCGTATGAAGCGAATTTCGTATGAATCAAACAATACGAAACACAGTTTTTCAAACGTTAAATTATCAGTAGAGCATTTGGAAATAATTTTACTTAAAAATAAAAATTCCAAAAGTGGCTAAATAGATATTGAGAAATTGTTTCTGGTTCATACCATATTTTCTCTAGTTTGTGCCGCCGAGATCTCAAATATAATTCAATATTGGATCAATGTTAGTTTCACGATTCACAGTCCATGTTAGAAACTAGTTACATGTTAATTCCATCAAACTAATGAAGAATATTTCCTTCTCTCGTCTTTCCTACAATCTCTCGATCGTGACGACACGTGAATACCCTCGAATACGAATCCGAAATAATTTTATCTTATTTATATCTTTATATACAAATAAACACAGACATTGGCTATTGGTTAGTCATTAAATATACGTTGAATATCAGAAACCTTGCTCAAAAATTATTCCAAAAATATTTTTTTAGTCTTTCTAATAAGCAGATAGAAATACCTGCTTGTTAGAAAATGATGGTTTACTGTGTGAATGTTTATCCACTTTTATCGATGAGATTTCATCTTTTATTTATATTAAATATTTCGTTTTTCGAATGTGTGTGAGACAGTTACTAAAAT